CTGGCATCAATGTCACACCAACGTGACTGGCATCAATGTCACACCAACGTGACTGGCATCAATGTCACACCAACGTGACTGGCATCAATGTCACACCAACGTGACTGGCATCAATGTCACACCAACGTGACTGGCATCAATGTCACACCAACGTGACTGGCATCAATGTCACACCAACGTGACTGGCATCAATGTCACACCAACGTGACTGGCATCAATGTCACACCAACGTGACTGGCATCAATGTCACACCAACGTGACTGGCATCAATGTCACACCAACGTGACTGGCATCAATGTCACACCAACGTGACTGGCATCAATGTCACACCAACGTGACTGGCATCAATGTCACACCAACGTGACTGGCATCAATGTCACACCAACGTGACTGGCATCAATGTCACACCAACGTGACTGGCATCAATGTCACACCAACGTGACTGGCATCAATGTCACACCAACGTGACTGGCATCAATGTCACACCAACGTGACTGGCATCAATGTCACACCAACGTGACTGGCATCAATGTCACACCAACGTGACTGGCATCAATGTCACACCAACGTGACTGGCATCAGTGTCACACCAACGTGACTGGCATCAGTGTCACACCAACGTGACTGCATCAATGTCACACCAACGTGACTGGCATCAGTGTCACACCAACGTGACTGGCATCAGTGTCACACCAACGTGACTGCATCAATGTCACACCAACGTGACTGCATCAGTGTCACACCAACGTGACTGGCATCAGTGTCACACCAACGTGACTGGCATCAGTGTCACACCAACGTGACTGGCATCAATGTCACACCAACGTGACTGGCATCACGTTGCATCAACGTGATGGACGTCTTCTCACGTTGGCCTCCGAAGGCACGATAAAACTTATGAATTAACCAACGAATATCCTTCAAACTATGAGTGAACTTAATTCACAAGAGTCTACACGCCAGAATGAACACCCGTCGTAATTAATGACAGCCAGAGCCAATACTAGATGCACAATACTGAATATAAAAACGTGTTAACTTACTCGACGAAGCCCCCGACCTGGCGCGCCGCCCTCCACCTTCCTACTGACCCGAACCACCACCACCTCCCGCTCCTCCCTTACACAACTACCAACACTATACGAATCAACGTAATTAACTCACACCCCAACACAAATTCTTCCAACACTGCAAAATGGGCTGAAACTAATGTATTAAAACTGGGAATGTATTATATTTAATAGTCACTGGTTAAAGAACAACCATTTTATCGACAATTAGATGGACTGGTAAACACAATCGAGGTTGGTAGACGTGTCGCCCTTGCCACTAGCCTCGCTGGCCACATCAAATTTACCTGAATTTACCCGAGGGCGACTAATTCTAGTGGCCTCAAGATAACAAGATAGCCTCGAAGAGGACAGGAAGCCGGCGGCTTGTAAAAGGTACCCCCCACTCCCCCCCATTTGCCCTGATGAGCTTTACCAGTTGGATTTTAAAATTGAACAGTTTTCTCATATATAAATATAATTCATAATAATAAAAATAATTCACTGTGTCGGGGACAGGAGGCCAGAGTGTATTCATACACGTTAGGCTTATATCGAGGCCTCTTTTTTTTTTTTTGGTGGCAAATTCCTGAATCTGGGGTGATGTACAAAATGGGGGGTAGAAATAGCCTAAGCTACTCTATCCCTTTGAGATGTATTTCTTGTTTATCTCAATAAACATACTTGATGTACAGCTCATTCTCATATTACCATTTATGTTTTATTTATATTTGTTATGCTCTACTGTCCTTTCCAATTCATTGTTATGCAAACTGCTATAATATTCATGTTAGGCTGTATTGTATGCTATGTATATGTCAAATGCGTCCCTACACTCAAATTGTAGCGTGCATATGTTTATCAACTTGACGAAAAAATAAAAATCACTGATGTATACTTGTTAAGACCCTAACTGTAACGATTTGTATAAATTTGTGCCAAATATTTCAGCATATCATGGGAATGAGGTTCGGATATGGGCACTACCACATTCCATAATTCACATACCGCTTTTATCCGTCCCTTATAACCCCGCCCGGGCGAGTAGTGCGTAGAAGCCAGTAACATTTACGAGTTTGGGACCACGGCTATGTTACCACTTCTATGCTGTGTATTTATGTATTTATGTACATAGGTTAGATCAGCATTTTTACAGACACTACAATTACCTTCTGCGGTTGATTGTTCAATAAATCACTGAACTATATGTTTAAGCCCTATCCATGTAGGACAGTAGAAAATGTATATATGCTGGTGAGCATTGCCAGTGTATGGTCACGTCTGGTAGAAATCAATAATACTAATATTAAAAAATAGCTCTTTCATGCAGTACACTTCACAGGCAAACATATCCCCATACACCCACATACGATTGTATACTATTAGATGATCTCATAGCTAGCTTTTGAGCTTTGCATAGCTTGTGAGGTTTACATAGCTTTGTAAACTTCACTTAGAGTAGAGTAGTAGCGTGTTGTTGGGTATACCTAAGTTTGTTAAATACAAACAAATGTGTTAACTGTTTAAATTATGTTTTATTCCCGTTCTATAGTCATTATAAATATTATATTAAGAAAATGTTACGTTTCTTTGTGAAAATCTAAGAAATTTGGGCAATTTTGGTTAATTTTGTAATCATTTTTGTTGTCAAATTTCGTTATAAAATATGAGTATTGCTAAGGAAAATTATGATTATTCATGTTCTATATTTAATAGAAATATTATAGTAACAAAAAATGTCATATTTTAAATTTATTTCCGTAATTTTAAAAATATTTGGGTAGTTTTGGGTAATTATACTTTTCTATTTTCGGTCATACTTCGTTAAGCAATAAGCTTTCTAATAAAAAAATATATATTTATTCACGTTTTACAGTCATTACCAAATATTAGCATAAAGTTAACTCTTAGTGTACATACACCGAGAGCGGAGTGCACCTGTCCTTAACTTGGTACATTGCCCATGTGCGAAAAAACCTTAAAAAGAGATTATTTAAGGTTGCCTAGTCGATCCTCGCCCCTTAATCGTGGTAAGTACTTACCAATCAGAATTTACCTATCAGTGACGACCAAGGAAAAAAATGAGGTCTATCTCTTTTAATTATACAACCCCCCCCCCCCCATCCGTATAGCCTTGTTGCAAATGCTGCAATAGAATTTAACTACCTTATTGTAACGTTTGAATTGTTAAAGTGTGGATGGAAGTAGTGATATTATTACAAGACGTACCGTTCATGCCGGCGAGGCACCCAGACTAGTTGTGGTTGGTATAAGCAAGGTAGTGGTGGGCACTGAGGAGGCAGTGATGGTGAGCACATAGTTGGCAATGGGTGAGGTTCAGTAGCACAACCGGGCCCGCACGACCCGGACGTTCGTTGTAGACGCTCCTCCCTGTGCACGGCTTACATGTCTCAATATCTCCACGGACTCGACTTGTACGCACGATTGGAAATGCTGAAGCAGAGACACCAAACACTAAAGTGGATGTTAACGTCAAGTTCAAGGGAACTCTGAAGTTGAAATACTAGCCACTGCTAAAGTACATATATAATAAATCATTAATTATTTTATATACTCGGATTTGGACTTATAGTGCGACGTGCTGTCCGTGATACGTTATCTGTGATAATTACTGATAGTTTATAAGGCTATTTTTTTACATACAGTATATATATATATTTGAGTGCGAGACACTTGTATTAGAAATTGTGACCAGGATGTTGCTGGACTTTGAGCCGGTGTGGGCAACCAACCACCAATGGGAGGTAAGATATATATTGTTTTCTTTTGAGCCTTAATTAGAAGCACATTAACTAGTATATTTTCACTTCAATTGTACGTTTATCTAATTGGAATTGGTGTTGTTAAAGTTGAAAACTCTTTATGAAACTGCTATTTAGTTGTCAGTGACCGTCTCCTTTTGAAGGCGATTCTTTAGCTGTTGGAGCTCATAGGTGTTCAGGCAAATAGTAACTATGTGAATATCTATTGTTCATTTCACAATATTTACAGTTTCGCCTATCATGATGATGATCTCTATTTCCCAAGCATTATGGGCAGCCTATTCGCGGTCTGCGCTATTCGGTTTTAGTTCTGTGTCTGTACCCGATGACATCTCTGTAGACCTTCCATATTGTAGGTTTAAGGGCTATTCATGCCCGTGCCACTCTCTCAATCAATCCATATACCTGACAATTAAATGTCACCTCAACACACTGTATACATTTACTGAACAAAAATTCTTCCACCTACGGGCTATTCATGCCATCTCTTGGGTGGCTTAATTTTCATCAATCAATCCATATAGTACACAGGGATGTGTTGGAAAGATGTGCACGTTCCCGCTAAAATGCTTCCATCCTCGTTTTATCATAGTTCTTTAAGTGTAGTAGACGGGTGCTGGTCGCGATTAATTTTATTAGCCTTTTCATAATCTGACTAGCGAGAGCAGTTAATTGACATTTTACCCCATAATCAAAGGTTCTGGAGTAAATGCACGGAAGTGATTAAGTAATCTTTGTGCAGGCGAGGAGTCACAATAACGTGGCTGAACTATGTTGACCAGACGACACACTAGAAGGTGAAGAGACGACGACGTTTCGGTCCGTCCTGGACCATTCTCAAGTCGATTGAATGGTCCAGGACGGACCGAAACGTCGTCGTCCCTTCACCTTCTAGTGTGTGGTCTGGTCAACAAGTAATCTTTTGATTTGAATGCCACCAGCGGCTGTTAGTTTGTGTGTGCACCCTATGAACAAGTCTTGTGAACGATAGCGCAAAAGGACTAGAGCACAAAAGATCTTAATCAGATCCCGGTGGCTGTTTGAAATTAACTTTTATAGCTGCACACCTTGTAATGATATTAACGGACTGTGTGTGATAATTTTCCTACAATGCGTAGTAATATAATATAGATATTTTGTTCTACAAAATATCTATATTACTACAATGTGTAGTAATATTTAAAATAATGTTAAATATTTGATATTACAAGGTAATATAAATTGTCTATACAGATATTTTCATCGCCTATGTATTTCTTTATGTACTACAAGCGAAATCTGAAAACTGCAAGAATTTCAGATATTTAGACCTTTACAATAACATTATTTGCCATTTCATGAAGCTTAAATTTCGATTCAAGTGGCTGTTAATTCCATCCAAAATCGTTAGTTCCACCGCGAAATACTGTAGTCAAATTGCTAAAATTTGTATTATCGTTACCACGTATAATTCTATTATAGGATTGATTTTAATTCTTTCTAGTACGTGATAGCCTATCAGTGGCGTTGTATATATTAAATATTGTACAGAACGTCATTTTAGATATTCTAATATTTGACCGTATTGAGGACTGTACCCTACCCCAGTTCTGAGCGCTTTAGAGTCCATCACTATATTGTTGGTGCATTTAGTTTTTAATTTTAAATTATAAGGGACTGAAATATCAGGGTTTTGCGAAAGAAGAAAAGATGACACTAATCCCGTTATCAGGAATTCATTTCTTCTAGAGGCATTGGTACCTAAATAAATTGTACAAATCTTACGACCTTGAGTAGTACATCGTATTTCGTATTACCTGTCCTCTATAGTAGTACATCGCATATAGACCTATAAAACTCCCAACGGCCAAAATATGATGCACTATAAATCATAGCGAGTCGCAAAATTGACGGGCTCTATGCTCTATGACGGGTTTTATGCTCCTGGGTCCTCGGTTGGGTTTGATTGGGACAATTTAATACATCATTTTTGTGACATTTGAACTAATTGGGAGAATGGGCGGCATAAAATATTGGAATTTTTGTTATACACAAGCGGCCACAGGAGAATAAGTCTTGGGTCATTTTTTTTTAGGGATGTGCCACACAATATATATAAAACACATTTTATCTCCTTTCAGGATACGTTAGGCCAGGTCAGGTAAGACAGCGCTGACGTAAGGGGTATATGCTTTTTTTTCAAGTCTTAGACCCTACAATGAGGTTTCCCCTCCCAGTTTTTTCCCTGGAACGCGACCTACTATGCGGTTTACATCCAGGTTCCCAATTACTGCTGGGTGAACAGGGGTGAACCAGTTAAGTTCTGGATCCCAGTCCAGACCTAGGTTACACTTAACACGTTGAAAACACAATTAGCCTTTTATATGAAACGGATATTTTCTCTAAATGAATGTCACTCACTTTTATTAGTGAAAAGCATTTTCATGCGTTTAGATTAGTGATAGTTTAATTTTTCACATCTTGCATGCCCATAAGTAGGTTCTGGAAAATAGTTGCAAAGACGGCAGTTGCAATTTATTGCAAAATATTGCGTATATATAATGCTATTAGCTTGTTAACAGGTGTTAACTCTGTTCCCAGCAGGATAGCGGGAGTCAATCACAGTCGACGGAAGAAGACAAAACTCCCTCCTACCTGACTTCCCTGACATCAGACGACGAGCCAACACGTTACGACCCAGTCCCACCAGAAGTCACGCCCTGTGAACTGGGCTTAAGGTCGTCCCAACAGGTATACACGACCTATATTAATGTATATAATGTTTTGTATACAGTATTCTCTTTCCTGTTGTATGTATACCAGATAGGGTACTCGGCAGAGCCAGTTTATCCGGTTCCCTGGTATACCCCCCTCCCCCCCCCCCCACACACACTTTCAAGTGTAGATATGATAGAGCCCAGTAGGCTCGGGAACCTTAACACCAGTAGATTGACAGTTGAGAGGCGGGACCAAAGAACGGCAAGCACAACTAGGTGAGTACACACACACTTACACACATACACTTATACACACACTCAGGGGCCTGGTAGCCTGGTGGATAGCGCACATGATTCGTAATTCTGTGGCGCGGGTTCGATTCCCGCACCAGGCAGAAGCAAATGGGCAAAGTTTCTTTCACCCTGAATGCCCCTGCTACCTAGCAGTAAATAGGTTCCTGGGAATTAGTCAGCAGTCACGGGCTGCTTCCTGGGGTGTGTGGTGTGGGAAAAAAAGTAGTGGAGAGGCGGGCCGAAAGAGCAGAGCTCAACCCCCGCAAACACAACTAGGTGAATACTCACTCACTCTCCCCGTCTCTTAACACACGCCTTCTCCCCCCATGCTATAACAATCTTTACACATCTATATTCAACCCGGCCCCCCCATCCCACCACACCCACCCACACCGTCACAGTCTCCTACTCACGCCCCTTTCAGATGGCCCCCTAACACGCACTTCCCATATCCCCACAACAAACACTTGTCTCCTCCCAGCGAACACGCGGTTCTTCTCCCTAATCACTCCCTCCCAATCTTCTCCCAACACACATGCACCCCTACTCCTCTCTGATCAGTTTACTATCACTACACCGTCCCCCCCCCCCTCCTCCCCCCCACGCCCTTCCCCCATAAATGTAACCAAAAGGTTGGGTACAGAATACACCTCTCACCTGAACATATTTGAAAATCATTAATTTCATTTTTTATACTCGGTGCTAAAGTCTACGGACTCGATGTGAAACGTTTAGTGCACACTCCATGAAGGAGGGGCGTTGGGTTGTTGTTTTTAGATTCAGCTACTTAGAACAACAGTTCCGAAAGTAGCATGGGCTATGGTGAGCCCGTAGTGGACTTACCTGGCACAGGAACGGGGCTGTAACGGGCGTTGGGACTGTACCCACTCTTTATTGGGGGAATTGGAACTATCCCTACAACACATCCGTTAACATAATCATTATTCCTGTGAAGTTTAGTGAGGTTAACCCCATGCGGCTGGCCTTCAATCACACACACATTCATTCCAGCGATAATTTTGTGCAGTACATGTATTTAATTTGAATTGGTGCATGGTTAGTTAGAAACTTGTGCTATAAACTTTATTATTTTTGCAGCGTGCAACATCAGGCTTCGGCGAGTTAGTGGATACCAGTGAAGCAGTGAAGAGTGACTGTGGGTCCTCGAGCATGCGCGGAGCTGACCCCTTGCACCGAACTGCATCTCGCTTCAGGTAACGCTGCCTTATTTAAACTAATGTTGCCATATTTATATTGCATGTTAAAGTATAGATCTAAAAATTAACAGACAACTGATGAAGCTTCATCAAATAAATTATTGGAGGGAGGTATTGTGCTAGATAAATTTACCACATTGGTCTAAGTCCTCGGCTCACAATCGAAGAACCCGGTTCATTCCCCGGGCAGGACAAACTGCTGGGCATGTGTACTTGTACCCGATACCTCTGTTCACCTAGTAGTGAAACAGGAATCCATGAGTAAACCGGTCGTTGTGGGTTGTATCCTGGAGGTCAGATTAGTTGGCTGATGGGGACCTCAAAGGGACCTCATCCTGTCCCCGATAAAGGTAATGATATAAAGAGGAATTGAGGGATCAGGGTTATAAATACCATGCAGGCGATGAGTCACAATAACGTGGCTAAAGTAAGTTGACTAGACCAGACACTAGAAGGTGAAGGGACGACGACGTTCCGGTCCGTCCTGGACCATTCTCAAGTCGATTGTGACAATCGACTTGAGAATGGTCCAGGACGGACCGGAACGTCGTCGTCCCTTCACCTTCTAGTGTGTAGTCTGGTCAACTTATAAATAGCATTTTGCATAGATGAGAAATTGATAATTCCAAAGGGCAATTGGGGTAGACACACACATAGTCCCCCCCCTCCAAGATAGATTCTTTTACTTCTATATTGTTATGGAAGGCAAGATATTTGGCTAAGAGGCCTGAACGGTGGTACATCATTTTATCTAGAGCACTAAACTTGCACAATATTGACTTGTTCAAAGTGTTTAATATAAACAATGGAAAAACACATTCTTAAAAATAGAAATGAAATGGGGAGGGTAAAACTAATAATACTTTGGATTACCCACAGCCGCCTTCACGAAGAAAGTGAAATAGAAGGCAGCTTGCAAAGCAGTGACGAGGATGACACTAGTCTTTCATCCCATGCATCTGAAGCTTTCATTGATATCGGCTTACAACCAGGGCAAGATGACAACCCCTCACCTGGCCAACATGAAGTCAAGATGCTCATCAAAAAGATACATTCCATCAAGAAAAAAATAAGGCGCTATGAAGAAGAATTTGAGGCTACCCACGGATACCGCCCTTCACACAGCGAGAAAATGAAGCACAGAAAAACTAAGAAATACATGAGTGAACTTAGCATGGCCAGTATAGAGCTCAAACGTTAGTATTTTACTTAAATGTCTAGTTCTTGTCATCTTAAGCGATTATTTTTGGAAAGACTGGAATAATACATTTCTTATTCATCACTACATCATTATAAAAATTCTACTTCTATTTTCAGAAATGAAAGATGATGTTGATGGTTTGATGTTTGTACCCATTGTGTTTCCATTATCACTTCTCCGGTGTCAAGAGTCGACGAACCCAAGTGTAAGATCCAATGGAACCGGGTCCCGTACTGCAGTCACCTTAAAACATGTTGAAGACAGATTACGAGAAAAGCGGTCGGCTTTAGGCCGGCCAGCTGAATTACAGGACATGAGTTCTGTGGAAATGCAGGAAGAAAAAACAGACCTACAAAAGGCCCTTCTTTATTATGAGTCAATTCATGGACGACCCACAAGTCGGGAGGACAGAGACTTGGCGAGACCACTCTATGACCGTTATCGCCAAGTTAAGAGGATTGTCATGAGAGCATATGTAAGTATCCTAATTAATTGTGTGTATATAATATGTACTTTGATATATAAAAAAATTAAGGATAATTTGATGATAGATTAATTTATTGAATTTGTATTTTGCAGAGAACAAGTGAAAATCTTGCAGAATTGCCTCCAATTATTGAACATGTGGCTATGGATTTCACATTAGCCTCACCTCAACATCGCAGTTCCTTACAAGGAGATGAAATAGAAAAACTAATACCAACAGCACCCACAACCCCTCCAGGCCTTGAATCTCCACCCATGTTTGATCCTTCACGAACTGCAACCACTCGGAAGGATGACCCAAAGGATGACCCAAAGGATGGGCAGCAGACAGTTGCACTCGGTGACCTCCATGCTCTACCCCTAAGTGAACTGAGAGAAAGAAAGAAGGAAGCACGTGAAGAAAAGAAGAAATTAAGACGGTCACTCCGAGAATATGAAGAGCAATTTGAGAGAGAAATGGGCCGTAAAGTGCATAAAGAAGACAGAGGGCCCATGGAACAGATGTATTTTGATTACAAGCACACTAAGGCAAAGCTGAGGCTCCTTGCGGCTCTTCTATCAAAACATGAACCCCTGAAGTTCTCAAGGTTTGGCTAAAGTTTAATCACCCTGTTAAGTCTCACACAGAACTTAAAAGTATTTATAGGAAAACCAAATGATGCCCTTTAATATGTAACTGATTGTGTGACTGTATTGTGTAAGATTGGTAGGCACCTCAGTTGAAGTGAACTTGTACTGTTCTGGTGTGTGGGTAATGCAGGAGCTGAAATGTTATCAAAATTACCAATAAGGTTGAGTTGAAGGATCTATAATGGGTTACAATTTGAATGGTTTATTGGGGCACATTGTGCCCAATTGGCACAGTATGAAAGAGCAATGCTTATTAGACAAGAGTCAACATCATTAACGGTGAATAAGTTGTTGATTCAATGTCGAACCAACACATGTTTATTTTAAGATGTTGTTCCCACTGGGTACATACATTGGCCAAAAATGATGTAAATAATGTAATTATGAGATGCATGTATTAAATATGATCTTTTCAGTTTGATCAGGTTAGTGAATTGCAACAAGTTTGTGCACTTTGACATTTTCAGGATGAAAAGATGCTGTTCAATGAGAGATTTGTCTGGTTCATTTAGACTCAAATATACAAAGGCTTTCAAATACAGAATACTTGAACCATATATATTCCTTGTGCTACGCATTAAGGAGCATTACTGAGTACTGAGCGTGTATGGAGTTAGTAGTTCGTTAAATGCTGTGAAACGTTTTTTACTGTATATACTTAGCAGTATGTGTGTGTAAGAATTAATGGTGATGAGTGGTTTGTTATTGTTGTGGGTGTACTTCAGGGTTTTGTGATGTCACCTTAGTTATAAAATCTATACATGGGTGTAGTTATGAGGGATGCTAAATTAAAAATATTAGAGAGGTGTTAACTTAGTGATGGAACAGGTTTAAGCAATGAAAGTATGTCAAATTTGGTGAATGCTGATGATATATATTAATCTTCATATATATATCAATCTCTTTAGCAGATTGAGAGAGCTATGTAGATTTAAATTAGTTATCGTGTATGGAAGACAAAGTGAATGTGGCCGAGAGAAAAGGAAATTGTGTGAAATATATGTGAATGGTAAAGTGCCAATGGTGGTAGATCAGTTTGATGCATGATTGCTAATGGGTTGGTGGTGGTGGGCTAAAGGCCTATCAACTGGGAAAGGGTGATAAAGGCCACCACAATGACTGACACCAGAAAGTCTACTTTAGTCCTGAACATAGTTTAGGACCAAAGTAAACTGTGTATACTCAAAGCAGGTTACACAATCGGTGTATATTTGGTATCATATGGATTGCCAATTGATTAGTTTATTTTCCACCACCTATATGGCCAGTTACATTGTTAACCATCATGTATAATACTCATATTTTTATTTATACAAAATATTACACACACTCGCCTATATATTTAAAAAACACTTAATCACATGGAGTAAGTTATTGACCAATTAACCACATAGAGCAGTGACTTGATTAATGCATCTATAATGGTTCTTCAGTTATAATGCTAATCAATATCTACAGATTATTCATTTTAGTTTGTCGTCCGTAGAATGGTATAGTTATTTCTGTATAGTTACCGAGCTCTCGCTCACAGGTGATTGAAGTGTGTTTAAATTAAAATTTTCTTATATATTGCATATGTTTTACATATTAAATTTTGGGTACCAGTAGTGTTTCAGTATTCAGTAAATATTTACAGTATTCAACCTCTCAACCTAGAGGGTCTGGAATTGTCGAGTATGGGGCATTCAAAAAATATAATGTCCAAGAGAAAGTACGTGTTCACTTGATTTGGTCTTGGTCTATTAAGGCTACCACAGTAGTTTACTAACCACCGGAGGGTTATTATAATCCTGAATGTAGTTCAGAATGCTGGTAAACCTTAGTACACACACACAGGTGGGGTACCCCTCTGTGTACCCCACCTACACAATATAAGCAATGGATAGGAAAAACAAGATGGGAATAGCTGTAACCTGAGGTCAGTATGGAGTAGTGGGCATCCATCAGTCTCGGGAGACTATAGAGTTGTGCTGTGGTTGTCAGTCTGGAGTGGCCTCTCCAGGGCACAAATCCAGGGTAGGTTGATATGGGGAGAAGCTGTCACCTAAGCAGGTCTTCCCTCTCCACGGTGCTGAAAGTCTCCAATGGAAAGGCAAACACCAATAAGATTGGTTCCAGTGCTATCGCAGGAACTGTCAGAACGAACTGCCCTAGGGGCTCCAGCTCAGGAGATGGAGCTCCTAGGGAGTAATAGTTTCCAATTTCTCATACTGTACATGGTTACAAGATGGCGTGTGGACAAATTCAGTTAAAGTAGGAATGGACAATCTGAGAAACGTGTCATGGTGTGGAGAACAGGGTATGGAATAGAAGTCAGAAATGTGGCGTGCAAAGTTAGTAAATTGCAAAATAAAGATCACAATGAGATGGTTTGGGCATGTTGAATGAATGAATGAATGTAGACTAGTGGAGTTGTATTCAAACTAATTAGATTATATGAGAAGACGGTCTAAGGCGTGAGAATAACACAGGACATGGTACCGGACAAATTTGGCTGGAAGCAGTTTGCAAGGTGTAAATATATTTGTAATATTAACAATTCATGAAGCACGCAAGTACACCTGGTCCTATAAAGCAGTGGGTTGCCACAGTGGATGACTGCTGGAGTGTGCAGCCCGACCTTGCATACAAAGACCCCAAGCTTGTTAATCTAGCTGCCAAACCCCCTGTTTATGAAAAGTGGTTTACGCAAAACTTACAACTGATGTTCTGTAAGCACTTCCAGAACAAGTGCTTCACTCAAGTCCTCTGTTAAAACCACAATTCTATAAATGCTTCACCCACGTACAGTTCTTCAAATACAAATAATCTCCAACAAAACCTTAACACCTAACCTAACCTATGCCTAGCTATACATAGAATTTTTATGTATAATAATAATAGTAGTAGTAGTAGGCACCTATCAGTAGTAGGTATCCATCAAAAATGTATAATAATAATAATAATTTATATGAGAACAAACCAATGTTAAAATTGATGAATGCGTCTGGGAGGACGGCTGCTGCTATAAACAGCCTAGTGTGAGGGCGGGTTGGAGTGTTGTAGTGCTTATCGGTGATGCTAAATATAGTACTGTACTCTATTGTAAATATAGTAAATGGACAAATATACTGTATATATATATATATATATATAACAAATATATACTGTATATGATATGAATTATAATTTGGCCCTGGAGCCCAGCACTAAATAGTTCTTATTCAGAGCTTTTTTTTTTTACCCCAAATTATAATAATTTTTTTTCCACCCTGTGCTTATCCTGTTTCCCCACTTGTTGGTTAGGGGAGTTATAAGTAATGATAATATATGCATTAAGGTATCTATTTTCTAAACAGTGATGTTTTGTCTTTTTGAAGTCTAAAATTTCTGCTTTCTGAAGAATTGCCCATAACAAACTGTGTAGTAACTCATTAAAATATACAAAAGACATGCAGTAATATTCAGGTGATTAAAATGGTCTGGACTTGTCTGCATTGATGCTTCCAAATATATTTTATCCATATAATTGCTGAACTGTGCTAAGTGTAAGGTACCTGAATTTAGCATTAAGGTACAGTAGCTGTTTAGACCATGGGGCATGAAATCTTTGAATTTTTTTATGTATGTATGTTTTGACAACTATACCCCTTGCCCTTTGTTTGAGACGTGTATAAGTTGTTGCAGACGATGAGTCACAATATCGTGGTTGAAGAAATGAAGACTAAACCACACACCAGAAGATAAGATGACGACGTTTCGGCATGTCCTGGATCACTATGAAATTAATTGTGTTGATATCAAGAAGACGGAAATGTCGTAGTCTCCTCATCTTCTGGTGTGTTGTTTGGTCATCAATAAATTGTTTAAGGGCATGCAGGACAGTGAAGAGCTCTCCTTGTGGTCTATTACACACAATGTATTCACTTGGCAGTTATACACTTGTTTTGTGAATTTCTGTTTCCAGATATATTTTTCATGCTCTATCTCTAGCACTTGTCTCTTTTAATACCAAAACTTATAAATCATCAGATACCTGATGCTGTTCTCAAAATTTATATATTTATTTATAAACTACAGTATAACATTATGACTGTTTATCAGACCATTTATGTACTCTATAAAATTTACAATAAATATTTTCTTATGCCATACTGTTTACTTATGCCACACCTGTATAGTAGGTAACCATAGTACTGTATTATTTTGCACTGTTCCGAATCGATGTCATGTCTCTGTATACACCATCTGTGTTTGTTGCATTATGAATATGATCAAAATGGTTAGATCGCTGATTCCAGGATGAATCTTTTTCCAACTTCCTTAAGTTCTTCACTGAGGAAGTTTAAAAATTAATGCTCACAAGCTCACTGTACAGATTCAAATGGCCTGACACGTCACTGAAGGACATGTGTTGCTGAACCTCTCTCTCCAACATTTATGGAGGTAGTAGAGCTCCATAGTGTTGTTGTTGTTTTAGATTTAGCTACTCAGAACTAAATGTCCATGTAGCACGGGCTATGGTGAGCCCGAAAAAATTGGCTGGGTGTACATTATATACACACAATAGGGTGAGGAGAAATGAAGTGGTACATAGTCCTAAGAGTAAGCTAGTTGTTGATAGTTGGTACCGTGTGTTTGACATGTAGTACCAAGATGTTAGATGAAAATGCATTCTTATTATAAACTAACTTTTAAATATGGTAATGAAAAAGATTATGTAGTAAAAAGATAGGACCTACCTTCATAGTCACTGAATCATCAGACTGCATGCATTGTGGGCATTAGTCTTCACAACAGCGTGAGGATTTATGAAATTTTCTTTGTAAAGGGGTAGGAAGATGTATCCCACACACACACAACTGGAGTTAGACTCCTCCCCCTGTGGCGGAGTTGTATCACATCCCGTGTGCGGTTGGGAGTGAGAATGTTAGTTGATGGAATTTGCTGTCACAAGCCCCTGGAATCTAAATATGTACATTTCACTTGCAAGAAATTTGAATAGCAAATATTACATGGCATACACAAAGCTTTTATCATTCATAAAAGCATTCATTTTATATACAGTGGTACCTCGGAACAAGAGTGTCCCTGTATGCGAGGTTTTCGGAATACGAGCAGGATTTACTAGGAAAATATGTCTTGGAAGGTGAGGGTTACCTCGGAACGCGAGATTGTTGATACGCGTTCAGGGCAACCTACCGCGTGGTAGTTCGGCGATCGTCGCCCCTCCGCCCCTCCGCCCCTCAGTTTACCATTGTCTCGCGCCCAGTGACTATCCCACATCAATTCTTCACCCGGATTTTCAGTGTTTTGTTGGATTTTTGGTCATTTGGCTATACAATTTGTTATTATATATCTCACCATGGGTCCCAAGAAAGCCAGTGGTAAGGATAAAGGCCAGAAAGCCCAAGTGAGGATGACAATAGAGGAGAAACAAGAGACCATTCGGAAGCATGAGAATGGTACACTTGTTGTTGAACTTTGTAGGCAGTACAACAAAGCCACATCAAAAATATGTACTATACTTAAGAAGAACAATGAGATTATGGGTGCTAAAGTGGCAAAAAGGAGTAAGAACAATAACGAAACAAACACCACAAATACTTGAAGAAGTGGAAAGTTTGTTATTAATTTGGATACACGACAAGGGGTTAAGGGGTGATAGTGTTTCGGAGGCCATCATTTGTGAGAAAGCCAGGGTATCGCACGAAGACCTTCTAAAGAATACCCCTGCAACGAATGATGCAGATACGAAAGAGTTTAAGGCAAGCAGGGGCTTGTTTGAAAAATTAGAAGGAGAAGTGGTATCCATAGTGTTACAAGGCATGTGGAGGCAGCCAGCTCAGACAAACCAGCCGCTGGACGATTTATTGAGGAATTTAAGGAGTTTGCAGAGGCTGAGGGATACCTACCACAACAAGTGTTTAATTGTGACGAAACAGGACTGTTTTGGAAAAGAATGCCTAAGAGGACATACATTACCAAGGAGGAAAAATCCTTGCCTGGACACAAGCCTATGAAAGATAGGTTTACACTTGTGCTGTGTTCAAATTCGAGTGGCGATTTGAAAATTAAACCCTTCCTAGTGTATCATTCTGAAAATCCAAGGGTTTTCAAACAGTATAAAGTGCAGAAAACCCATTTGTGTGTGATGTGGAAGGCTAATAAAAAAGCATGGGTGACTAGGCTTATTTTTTCGGAGTGGGTGAATGAAGTGCTGTGCCCTGCCATAGAAAAATATCTGCAGGAGAAACATTTGCCACTCAAAGCCATGCTTCTCGACAATGCTCCTGCTCATCCTTCAGGCTTGGAAGATGATTTGTTGCCCAGATACAATAAATTCCTCACAGTTAAATTCCATCCTCCTAACACCACTCCTCTAATTCAGCCTATGGACCAGAAAATCATTGCGAATTTTAAGAAACTTTATGAAAGGGCACTTTTCCGGAAATGTTTTGAAGTGACTGAAGCCACAAACCTCACCCTCAAAGAGTTCTGGAAACACCATTTTAACATTTGTAATGCTTTAAAACTCGTTGACAAAGCCTGGCAAGAAGTGACTAAAAGAACCCTGATCTCTGGCTGGAGAAAATTGTGGCCTTAATGTGTGAGAGAACTAAACTTTGAGGGGTTTGAGCCTGTAAATGATGCGCCTATTGTTGAGGAAATTGTTACTCTGGGGCCGGCAAATGGGCTTGGAATTGGATGGTGATGATGTGGAGGAGTTGGTGGAAGAACACAACGAAGAACTGACCACCGAAGAACTCCAAGCCCTTCAACATGAACAGCAAGACACCGCAGCGGATGATTCTACAGTGGAGGAGGATGTGGCAGTAGCGAATGTCCCTTCTGCAGTAATTAAGGTGTGTCAGATGTGGAAAGAGATTCAAACAATTGTTGAAAATACTCACCCAGAAAAAGCTGTAGTAGGCCGTTGCCTTAATCTTTTCAATGACAATGTGATGCCTTACTACAGAGACAGCTTGTGAAGAAGGGAAAAGCAAGCTTCCATGGACAGATTTGTGGTGAGAAAATCGAGCAGTGAGCCTCAACCAGGACCTAGAGGCACTCAGATAAAATGTGCCAGGGAGAGCACACCAGAAAGGTCCTCACTGCCTGATGTGATAATGGAAGGGGACTCCCCTTCCAAACAGTAACTCCTCTCCTTCTCCCCCCTCTTCCATCTTCCATACGCCTACAGCATTCAACAGCAAGGTAAGTAATAACTTGAACATAGTTTTGTAGGTTTATTTAGATGAATTAGGTATAAAAATTTAGTTTGATGTGGGGTTTTTGGGGTAGTCAGGAACGGATTAATTCATTTCCCATTATTTCTTATGGGGAAATTAGCTTCGGAATATGAGTTTTCGGAATACGAGCCGGGTCCAGGAATGAATTAAACTCTTAAACTGAGGTACCCCTGTAGTTACATTTAGTGTGAAAAGTTGAGAATAATTAGAGGTCAAAATATTACCATTGGCCATTATGAGCCAGAAAACCAAGAAACCTCCTTGAATTAAACATGAAAGTTCAGTTTTTTCTTCTCTAAACTGCCACTAAATTTGGGGATTCATGTAGGACCCAAAGAGTTAAAAGCCCAATCCAGGACACAATGTCATCTATATCTGTGAGTCACCGCAGTGGCATTGGCATCAATTTCACGTGAGAACACATTTCCAACGTCCATTTCTTTCTCGGGGACAAGAAAATAA